ATGAACCTAGCAAAATAGATATAAGGTTTTTAAATCTGTCATAATTTGGAGATCTACTGACCTTGTTGGCTAATTCCTGTATTAATGTGAAATTTGTCAATCTCTGTTCTCCAAAATCGTTACAAAAACGCATAAGTTTATTCACAAAAGAAGATCTATGACCAACTAGAGTAGGAAAAATACGATTTTTCCCTGTAATCTTAAATTTTATAGATTTAAATGTCTCATAATATCAGTGAGAAAAGCTAAATCCCAAAGCCAATCTTTATCATTAAGTAACGAGCACTCACTGCATTGTTTTCTTGCAAATATTTTAAGACGCACTCCAAGTTCCAAAACCTTTCGAGTGCATTTCCTTTGAAAGCCAGCGCACACTGCACTGGAGAAGTAACACTCCATCTTGCTCCGTTTCTTCCGCGAACAGTTCTCGAAATTGTCGTCGATTCAATGCCCGAGCTCGTATTTTTTTAATGCAGCGTGTTACAGGGTCAATAATAGATGACATGTTTAGGTCCTTGGCACAAAGAGCTTCCTGGTGAATAATACAATGGTACTTAAAAACTTTTCTTCCAAAATAGTTTTCCAGTAATGTAACAAACCCCTTTAGTCTACCAACCATGCAAGGAGCTCCATCTGTACAAACACTATTTAATTTTGACCATTCAACTTTGTTGACTTCGATTACGTTTTTAAGCTGTTGAAAAATGTCCTCTCCTGTTGTTGTGACTAGTTGGCGCAAATCCAGAAGCTCTTCGGCATTTTCAAAATTATCATTGGTATAACGGACAAAAATGCTTAACTGCGCATTTTCTGTGTTGTCACAACTTTCATCCAACGTTAAAGAAAAGAATTTGCAGGATTGTAATCCACTTATAATTTGGGAAACAACATCCTGGCCAATATCATCTATACGGCGCATGACTGTATTTCGGGATAATGCAATATTATCGACCATATTTTTGATCTTTACATCTCCCACATTTTTAGCAAATATTGCCAGACTATTTTTAATTATCTCTTCTCCATCAGAGTAGGCTTTTTTCTTCCGGGCTAACAGCAGAGAAAGTTCATATGATGTTTTAATCATAGTTTCCATTTCATCACTTTTTTTTTTTCAATAAAGTCGGCTCGCAAATGTGAACCAATAGGATATTTGTTGCTGAAGTCCTTATGCAGTTGTTTATAATGTCGTTCCAGGTTAAACTTTTTCGGAACTGCTACAGACAATCCACATATCAAACAAACAGGCTTTGAAGTATTACGATTAGTAAATAAAAATTGTTCTTCCCAAGCAGGTTGAAAATCGCGGATTGCAATATCATCTTCGTATTTTCGTTTTGAAGTCGAAGGCTTACTCGTGGACATATCGAATAAATACTTTTAAAATTTTAAAGAAACAATGCGTGATGACAAAATGTGCACATACAACGGGGCAGTTTAAAATAAACTAAGCAAGGGTAATGCAGTCCTATTGCACATTACGACAGCTAGGATCACGTGCACAAATCGTAACTTCCGTAAACCTACCAAGTTTCTTCTTATTATTTTTTGTTTTTCAAGTTTTAATTTTTTTGAAAGTTTGATCAGTTTCAAAGTCAGATGAAAGACTCAATCGTGCCACAGAGTGGCACGCGTGCCGCGGGTTGGCCATACCTGACTTAAAATTACAAAGTAGAAGTAAAAATTAAATTAACCTTCTTAAAGCAAAGCAAAAAGAAGCAAGCTATCAGCAAAATTAAATAATAGTAAGAGTAACTTTTTAAATCATAATTTTTAATTTTCGATAATAATTTTAACTTTTGCAGCGATTATTTACTAATACATGAAACTGTTAAGAATACCAACTGGTAGATAAAATCAGTCAAAAATTAAAAGACATGGAATGTATAGCTTTCTCTTAAATTTTCGAAACACCGGTCTTTGTAAAGTGATCTGCACTCCGAAGCAATTTGTCCGCTTGTTGCGTAGGAATTAAGTGGTTGATTGAAAGGAGAGCGTGTTCGGTGTGATGCGTGGTTCACAAATAACTCCCTGTATACATATACACACACCATGATACACTCTGCATAACACACGACTAGCTCACCGCTTCGGGACTCATCCAAATTTATTGCATTAGTCTCGAGCATTCGTCAAAATGTAATAATATTACTGTTCGGTGTAATTACTGGAGTAATTATTAATTTGGAAGCGCGATTCGAAGAAATGTTAACTTTAAGCTTGAGGCTAATGACATATTAGGAATTCTATAATATGTGACCATATCGTCCCTACCATTTCTAACTATCGAATGTGAAAAGTGGTACTTTTCAGGAGAGCAAAATAACTCTTTTTTAGAGAATTCTAAATCAGCGCTTTGACAAATGGAAAATTTTTTATATTTTTAAAAATTAATGTTTGATCCTTGTTAGATTCATATCAGAATAAAACTGCTAACTGTTTGCTTCTTTCCACAAAATCACATTCGTTATTTTGCTTTTCGTGTTAATCAACGATTTGTTTCGGTCCAATGTTTTAAAATTGCGAATGTGGCATTTTCGACAGTTCATATTTGTATAATTTTAGCACATTTATTTGGTGCAATGTTTCAAAACTGCGAATGTGACATTTTCGACAGTTCATATTGATCTAATTTTAACACATTAATATTCTTAATTGAAAAGGAGGAAAATGAAAATAATCTCAATGTTCTTTAGTTTTATTACAAAGTTTATTACAAATAATTTAATTAAAAATTGAAGTTATAGGGTAAATGGGAAAATCATGTATAAAGAAATTATTAAAAGTATTTTTATGAAAGTACGTATTGATAGAAAATTAATGTAATTAGAAAAGTTAAAAATAATCACAATACAATTATGGAACTTCACGTCCTGTAGATACCTCAAGTAATCAGTAGTAAAATAATGATAAATTAAAGTAAAGTCTTAAATTTTAGATTCAACGTTATCATTGTCTTCAGTTGCGTCAGGTTCTGGAAGACAATCTCTGGCAGTATTAGATGTTGGTAAAGATTGGTAATATTGGTGGTATGGCCTAGGTATTAAGTTTTGTTCACATAGTGACAAGAGGTTTTTTCTTCATATCCGTAATTGGGAGTCTTTCGTCGTATGCCTTAACAGAGTTTATACTATTTTGTTTGCCTCTTTTTAAGTTTTGTTTAAGCGAAACCGCCTGCAGTGGGCAGGACATGTAGCCCGGACCCCTGAATCGAACATGATAAAAAAGATTCTAACAGCGCAACCTGTGGGAATGAGACGACGGGGTAGACCAAAGCTGAGGTGGATGGATGGGGTAACACAAGATGCGGAGAAGATCGGATTCGGCAACTGGAAAATTCAAGCAAGGGACAGAACAGAATGGCGTAGAAAGCTTGAGAAGGTCGAGGCCCTCTAAGGGCTGTAGCACCAAGATGATGATGATGATGATGATGATTGCTACAAGGTGTATCACGTTTATTGCAAGGACAAGGTATCGAATCTGAAAAACCCGATTTTTCACATTCGATAGTTGGAAATGGTAGGGACCATATAGAGAAATCAGAATTCTTTTGAACAACTATAACAAATGATTTTAGAGTGGCGTGGAGCTAAACGACAGCTTCAGAATATTCTATCACAACTGTAATGAGTCTTCGCTAATCTAAAAAAAACCTCAAAGAAGCAACAAATATAATATTACGTAAAATTGGCTGTTCGAAATGCAAATCTATTAAAACATTTACTTTTGTCAAAGAAACTTGTTTTATTAGGGATTTACAACAAACTAATTTCGAAAACATGGATGTGTATATTTAATATTGCTTAAATACTATTTGACACACTATTTACGTAGAAATTTCGATTTTATGGAACATGTTGGTTGAATAATGGAAAAAGTTATCTTCTTAGATGGATTCAAACGTAATTTAAGATTCTTGTGTCGAAAAACATTCACATCGGTGATGAGTTTCACTTTAACATCTGCTAGCATCATGCTGTTCCAACTTCAAACTAATACGATTCAGCTTAATATCACATAAATATATATCCAAATGTTTTACGAAAATATATGCTGAGCAAAAATTAATGGCCAGGACAAGACAAAATAATTGCTACACTGGTTCACTGTAGAGTAGATCACAGGTATGCAACACTTGTAACACTAAGTGTGAAACTCCACAAAAATACATCAAAGTTTAAAATGGAACGTGGAGTATCACAAAGTGATAATGTCTCACCAACACTGTGTTACGAGAGCCATTGGTCTATGATCGAACCGCAGGTGGGAGTACAATGATCTGCGGCTGTCTAGAAACCACTATGGACGAGTCTAGATTCCAAATAAGCAGCACTGACATCAGAGGAGTCTACCTTCCGTATCCAGAAAGTTCCGCCGAAAACTGGAACCAAAGACTATTACATAGAGAATAACTTAGAACTTGGAATTAGTCTAAAATAAAAGTTTGTATTGTCAATTGTTACGCTGATTTTGAAAAAGCATTTGACAGAGTAAGACATGAAAAATTAGTCCAAATTCTAAAGACAAAAAACATAGACCATAGGGACTTACGAATAATAACTAACCTCTACTGGAATCTAAGAGCACAAATCGTAATAGATAACGAACCCAGTCCAGAAATTGAAATCAGCAGAGTTAAGCAGGGATGTATTATGTCCCTATTACTATTTAATGTATATAGTAAAGCCATTTTTGAAGAAGTAATACTATCTCAAAGTGAAGGAATAATAATTAATGGAAGATCTATTAACAACATAAGATATGCAGATGACACCGTGATTATGTCAAGCTTTGCTGAACAACTCCAATTACTGCTAAACAAAACAAACAATTTCTGTGAAAAATATGGACTAAAAATGAATATAAAAAATACCAAATACATAATAACAAAGAAAACAAATATACCAACAAACATACATTTGGGAAATGTACCGATAGAAAGGGTTGATAAATAGAAATACTTAGGAACCTGAATTTCAGACAATAATGATTAAACAACAGAAATAAGGACTAGGATAGAAATAGCAAGAAATGCGTTTGTAAAAATGAAAACAATTTTCTGCTACAAAGATCTTAGATTAGAACTGAGAGTAAGAGCACTGAGATGCTACGTGTTTTCGATACTGCAATATGGACTTGAGAGCTGGACATTGAAGCAAGAACACATTAATAAACACAATAAAAATAAGAAAGTTACAATATCTGAGACACGTCATGAGGGGACAGCGATATGAACTGCTAATGCTGATAATACAAGGAAATATAACAGAAGAAAGGAGTATAGGAAGAAGGAGAGTGTCATGGTTGAAGAATTTAAGGGACTGGATTAAATGCAGTTCTATAGAACTGTTCAGAGTAGCAGTAGATAAAGTAAAGGTAGTCATGATGATATCTAACCTCCGATTGGGAGACGGCACTTAAAGAAGAAGATTGTCAAGTATTAAAAATTATTATAAATTAATTTTGTTTTAGTGTTAGTGTAAGTGAACTAAAATAAGTGTTAGAAGATTGAACATTATTTAAAGGCTGTAAATAAAAGATAACAAAAACATTGCATTGGTGTTAAACGCGGGATATTTAAATAAATCTTGTGTAAAATGCCTAAGAATTGTGATTTAAAAATAACGGATTTACGGCGTGAACCGGAAGGTCGAAATCGGAACTCCGCAGGAAAAATGCTAATTAAGTTTAACGTTTAACGAAAATTCAAAAAGGTCATTAAAAAAACCAGGTTGGTGCCGACATTTTGTCTTTTGATAGAGATAGAAAAGATTTCCTCCTATGAGTAACAAAAACTGAAAGAGTTTGAAAAGGAGATGGCGGAAACAGGGACAGCAGACAGAGCAACTCGATCAAGTAGAGTCGAGACAAAACACTGGTTTTTTTTTATGTAAAAGTAGTTTAATCTTTCACTATCGTCAGTGATTCCCATGCTAGACCATTCAATTTTTTAAACATAAATTCTGGCTGAATTGTAAACAGTTGCAATGTTTTTATTATAACTCTTTAATTCATGTACAGAACCCCCTCTGTGGCTCAGTGGTAAGAGCGCCTACCTTTAAATCTAAAGGTCGTGAGTTCGAATCTCATCTATCCTTGTGCGATCGATACTCACCGGAGGGACTGCAGAAGTTCGGATACAATTAGCGTCTCTTAGCAAAGACAATGACGTCGACTTTGCTAAGTATCAAGACAATTACTCTACACACACACATACACACACACTACACTAGGTATCTGACTGTACCATGCCAATGATCGTAGTTGTCGAGGCATTAACCCAATAAAAAAAAATTCAGGTACAATATTTACTTATTTTAAGTCGTTTACTACTTTATACCTAGAGGGCTCTAATATAAATTAGTAGGTCTGAAGTATTCAGTGTTATATTCATTTTTACAGTTTTTAACGTTTTTTTCTGCATATTATACACTAAAGTTAGTTTTTTCCGAACACATTAATGTTTTGCCTTTTGAAATATGTTGTATAAGTTTGCACAATTGGCTTTAAGATGTATTAAAAATTGCAGACGATGACAAAAAAATTCATATCCAAGGGTGCATTTTCATGAACCTCACTATTTCTAATAAGCCTAATTCAGACAATCTATGTTTAAACTAAACTTAATTCTGCAATACGTATACAATTAAATTAAATGATTTTTTAATGTATACTGAGCAAACCCCTAATTTGGTAAAATAATGAAAACTAATAACACAAGCTCAACCTTATGCTGCTCTAGTAGTAATACCATAACGAGCATTGACCGACAAATAAAAAAGTGTATCCAATGTTTTGGCGTCATCAAACTCTTATTTACTTATCGCTAATGGAAATGAATACAATCTCGTCGGTCGGTGCGGTGGTGGCGGGTTTTATATCGGAGCGGAAAATCAGCTGAACCATTGTTTGAAGGATCCGTCGAATTCCTTTTGTCGGCAGCTATTTCACAGCGAAACCGATTCTTGCATTGCTTGCAGTCTCCATTTTCACATAAATTTACAGTAGCGTGCACAGCTCAAAAGCAGTTATTTGAGGTAATTACCCAATCGATGTATTCAAATTAGATGTGGTTTAGGCGACTACCAAAAATTAAATTTGAGGGTAAAAAAAAACAAAAAGATCCTACGACCCTTAGGAGCCAAGATACCACTTTTTATAGAATCACTGTTACGTTAACTAATAACATTAAGGGCCGAAACTCATCAATCTTTTATAAAAAAAATTAAAATTTAAATAACCACTGATATGAGTCATAGTCAAGTTTCGGTTTATTATTTTCAAATAATTATTTTATACCTAAGTTCTTTTCTTCTTCTTTTTCTTCTTCAAGCTTAAGTAATCCAACTTTGGACATAGGCCTCCCCCAAATCAATCCAGTGTTTCCCATTTTGCGCCACTTGCTTCCAGTTGTGTCCTCCGATCTTCTTAATGTCATCAGCCCAGCTCATTTGTGGTCTTCCTCTGCTTCTATTTTCTAACCATGGTCTCCATTGTTGTATTTCGTGATTCCATCTTTTATCCTTCAGTCGAGCATTGTATCCTGCGAAGCTTAATTTTAATTTGGCAGCATGTTCTCCTGCATCTTCTACTTTGGTTTTGCAATTTATTTGTTTGTTTTTCGTCTATTAGTCTCACCAAGAGATTTATTATCCATATTAGACTTGGTGAGTGTCCACGTCTGTGAACCATACGTGATTATAGGGAGGATACACTGATCCTAAATTCTGGTTTTCAAACATTGTTCTATTTTAGTGCTTTTCAAGATCCAATTCAGTTTTCCAAGTCCTGGTCACGCTAGCCTTATTCTTCTGGCAGTTTGATTTTCTTTATTAACTTTAATTATCTGTCCCAGGTAGATGTATTTGCTTACTCTTTATAAATTTATGTCGTTCAACGTTATTTCTCTAAAGTTCGGTGTATTTGTCATTACCTTTGTTTTTTTTTAAGTTCATCTTAAGACCTACATTTTCCGAAGCTTGAAATAGTTGCGTCATCATGGTCTGTAGTTCTTCGAAACTTGTAGCGAATATTACAATGTCATCAGCGTATCTCAAATGGCTCAGTTTTCTTCCATTAACATTTATTCCTTTATCTGCCCAGTTGATGTCTTTGAACACGTCTTCCAGTCCAAGTGTGAATAGCTTTGGTGAGATAAAATCTCCCTGGCGAATTCCTCCGTTGATTGGTATAGCTTTGGTTTTGGCATCTATTTGTATTTTGATTGTAGCTTTCTTGTAAATATTATGTATGACCATTTTGCATCGGGAGTCTTTCCTGCAGTTGTTCATAGCTCTTTCTATTGCCCAAAGTTCTATGGAGTTGAATGCCTTTTCATAACCAAGAAGTCAATGTATAAGTTCAAGTGATATTCATTGGCTTTCTCTATTAGGGTTCTGACTGTAAGTTCTTTAGATTTAATGAATTCATCAAGTTTAGGTTTTGGTTTAATAATTTAATTGTTTTACAACTAAATATCTGGTTTAATTATTATTTAATTAATATATTTCTCCTTCACTTTTCGTATAACCTTTGCATGCCTTATGAATCATGTCTGAAGGGATACGGAGAAAAAGGAGAGGAAAGATATTTCGGTTACACATGTATGAACGAGTTTCTTTAAAAGGTACTTCTGTTATCGTATGGGCAGATATTTTAACGAAAGATGCTTAGCTCGTACTTGCGAAAAGCGATACTTCGAATGTATGAGATATTCTTCAAGAAGCTATCGTCCCATTTTATGTTTATTGAAAATGCTATTATGTTACTACATGACAACCCCAGACTACATATGGTAAGAGTAATAACTAAATATCAAAAAAGGTTGACATTAGTAAGTTTTAATGGCCAGCATAGGATTTCTTATTAGCTTGAGAGGCGTGTTTGTTATCGTCCAGACATTCTTTAAGAGTTACCTTTAGCTCTTCATGAAAACTTTGTTGATAAATTCCGCATCACAATGATTACATTACGTAATTTACGTCCGATACGGCGTACACAATATGAAGTTTATCAAAACATGTATTAAAAGCTGTTGCAATTTCTTAGAAATACAAAAATGTATTTTTTTTTTATTTTGGTTTGGCCTACATTGTAATATCATCATTTCAAGCATACATAGTGTGTGTTATTTCTTTACATATTATTATTAAACATTACAAGTACAGAAGTGTTAACGCTCAAGTAACACCTGAGCATTAGAGCACAGAAGTCCATTTGATGGTCAGGGTATGCTCAACTTCCTTAAACAGGTGACGAATGAATTGAGTAGCAACTTCATAGTCTAAATTTGGTAATGGGAGTTGTACAGACTTTCTGCAAGATACCGTATCCCGTGGGAATTACATTTAGGCTTTTTTATATATGGTAAAGGAGATCAAAACTGTTGATTACTTTTGATATGTGCATTAATTCACTTAGGTAACCGGGAGCAAGGATTTGTCTCTTCCCCTAAAACTACGTATAGTTAAATGCTACATTTTTCCGATCTTGCTGTATGGCGTGGAGGCCTGGACGCTGACGGAGACGCTAACGAGAAAACTAAAAGCATTCGAAATGTGGGTGTACCGACGCATTCTTCGTATATCCTGGACCGAACATGTCACCAACATAGAGGTACTCCAAAGAATCGGAAAGGAGAAAGAAATCGTGAATACAATTAAACAAAGAAAGCTTGAATATCTAGGCCACATATTGAGACACGATAAGTACCGTCTGCTACAATTGATTGTCCAGGGAAAAATAGACTGTAAACGAGGGCCAGGCAGGAGAAGACACTCGTGGCTCCAAAATCTGCGGAAGTGGTTCGGGCTCACATCGGTCGAACTATTCAGAAGCGCCGTAAACAAGATCAAAATTGCCATGTTAATAGCCAACGTTCGCAACGGACAGGGCACTTGAAGAAGAAGAAGAAGAACAGGGAGAGTTCTGATTCCACAATTCGACTCAGTCGACCATGGAGGTTGAAACCATCATGAATAAGCTGTTTAGCCAGGTGCCAGGGTGGATTTTGGGGGCACACAGTCGGGGGCAGTTCAAGGTTATTCATAATTTTATTGTACTCTGTGTGCGCAGAAAGAATGGAGCTGTATGGAGAACAGGAGAATATATCTGATACGCTAGTAAAAATCCTCATTGTTCTATGGAGTTGAATTTAGATAACTTTAGAGTGGTTGCTGTTCAGCCAAACTGGTACAGTTTTCGTCCACGGAGTATCTTCTTCTTCTTACGGTGCCTTATGCTTAAGGACGTTGGCCATTACATTTGCCCATTTAATCTTATTTGTAGCAGCCTTGAATAGTTCTATGTAGGTCATGTTCGTCCATTGCCGTAGGTTTTTAAGCCAAGAGTTGTGACCTCTTGCGTTCTTCCTGGTCCTCTTTTGCTATTGACTTTGCCTTCGATTATAAGTTGGAGCAGTT